TGAAATTAATTTACAATTAACTAAAAACTGTTTAGAAGGGAAAAACTGTTTAGAAGGGAAAAACTGTTTAAATAAACTACTTTTAGTTAACACGCACTTAATTCTACACCAGATGGTTGCAATGGGACAATTTTGCTGTCGTCTTACAGGCTCCCTTCGAAGTGAAGTCATAAACATATAAAGATAATAGTTATTTGGATTCTGAAATACATAATAGCTCAACGCTTCTCAATTTCCAGTAACTGCTAAAAAAAACCACAAAACAAAACAAAACAGGAAATAAAAACAGGTACGAAAAAAAAAAAGGAGAAGCAAAACTCTACAGAAAATAGGAAAATCAAATTTTAAACTGTTCGTCATACTAAAATCTCCAGAGTTTTTAAAAGGACCAATTTTGACAGCAATCGGTTATACAGTCCGATGACGCTAGTAAAATAGTTACGTTATTCGTAATTTCTATCCTTAAATGTTCCAGTTCCGTTTGAGAAAACGCTCCGATTTCTTCGTTGATAAGGTTTTTATTTTTGCAGATTGTGCCAGCGGTTTGAGTCACTGCCAAAGAGCAAGAAAGGTGAAGTGCTTCTTTTTCATCGTCCCTTACAAGTTTATTAGAAATGCTACAATATCATCACAGGTGGCCGTAAATTAGTGACAAATTAATATACTAGAAAGTATAATACTAATGATTAATTGATAACATACCAGAAAGTGAAAAACACAGAGAAATTCGTACTACGCAGATCACACATTAAATTGATAAACTTTGCAAAAATTTTGTTTATGTTGGAAATGGGTTTTTTTTGTTTCTTATTTTTTTTCCTTTTAATTTTCAACGAGAAAATTCAATCACACTAGAGTGGGTTGTTGAGAAAGGTGGTTTCAAATCTTTGAGATTGGCCGAGGATAAATTTCTGATTCAGTACCCATTTGGCATCATCAGGTGTGGTCCGAGAATATATCCTTGACACACCCGAAAAAAATTAGTAGCTTGCTGGGTGTTTGGGTGATGATCGCCCACATAGAGGTTACAGATGTGGTTTCTGCTTACGTAAAATCTCGACTTCAGTGGGGGGCGGGAAGTTAGAAAAGGGGGATTCTGACGCAATTTGAAAACAACGTTGATTTTTATTGGACTCATGAAATTTAACCTTGATATCAAGTCATCTTTGAAATCAACTTTGACTTTAAAAAGCAGTTCTTGCACATTTTGGAGACAACCTTGATTTTAAGGCAACTTTTTCACAGGTGAATAAAGTTCACAATCTCACTCGTGAGTTCTGAAGAGGGTGTAAATATTATCATCTCGTATGATCCTCTTATCGCACCATCTGGGTGTCAAGGGGGTGTTGATTGTTCGTGTGAAGATTTTCAAATATCAACGTTGTATCTTCTGGCAAAAAATTTGTGGCGTGCCTTGATTTGCTCTTCTGGCAAAATTGTGCCTTGTAAATGAGAAGTTATTTCATTAATTAGTCACGCTTTCCAGCTCACGGTTAATGATGCTGAACTGAGCATCTTAGAGGATGAAGATCATTGTCTCATACTCCTGAGATCGACAAACAGGGCGAATATGTTTCCAAAAGTCGCATTTATTGCGCTGTTTTCCTTACCAAATCTTCTGAAGACCTCTTCCCACATATCTCTTGTCTCTATTCCTTGGCTATAAACCTTATTTGGGATTCCATCAACAATCACCTTCACTTCAGTGATATCAGGATTGAATTCCTTCTCACTGTCTCTTGCACCAGCAACATATGGCTCGTAAAAAAAGAATAAGTCCCTTCATTGACCTCCTTGGAACATGGATGCCTCGTTGATGATTGTGTCCAATCCCTTATCCACTGAGACTATCTTGAAATGAGTGACGTGCTTGTACGTGAAACTCTTTCCATTTCTGTAGTTAGACAAGGCCTCACTAGCGAGTTCTTGACTGCGAATGACTTCATGATCAAAGTGGATGTTAGTAAATTCATAGGCAAGCTGCGTCTTGTCAGATCCTATTACAACATTGCTGGCAGGTGCAACCCTGAGCTCGCAAAGAGGCTCATCAGAAAGAACTCTTGGAAAGACTCCATGATCCTTCAAAATCTCATGATGGAATCCTATATTTATTCTGATCAACATGATTGGGCGTATTCTCATTGTCAACTCCTGATTTCTTCTTATCTTCAGCATTGCATCTGATCTTTCAAAGATCAACAGACTCAATAAATTCTCTGAACATGCTCGCCCTCTCATTCTTAGTCAAGGAGAGGTCCTCATAGAGCTTGTGTAGATCATAAACATTATTGTCCTTGTAGTCATTTCTACGAATTTCACAGCCAATCTGTCAACCAGAGCTCTTGAAACATTGTTCACGATATAACTGTTTGCGTGACCACTAACTTCCGAGTCAAAGATAAGTGAAAAAGATCCTGACACAAGGACATCTCTGTTATTATGCTGTGGAACTGGGACCCTAAGGACTTCAGCTGAAGGTGCCCTATTAGGGTTAAATGTTACTCTGTGAATTGCGCGGTCAGCCTTGAGGTTGTTTGACGTCTTTTTTTTCAAAGTTTGGGTTGGTTTTTTCACTGACTTTCATTTTAAAATAATAGATATTTTACTTTAAACTGGATGAGTTTGGAGTTACTGATCCTCTTTTGGAGCACAGTGACGGTGATGATGATAATGATGAGGTCCGACCCCTAGTTGTTCCCCCGGCGGTCTGCTGTCGTACCGGTCTCCCGTTATGTTTCTTGATCGTTGGTATTCACGCTTCACAAATTTCGATTCCATTATCCCTGTTGATGTTATCAGGGAGAAGTCTTTTGTGAATAGCTTCCTTGAATCTTCTGGTGTATTAGTGTGAGTCTCGATCAATAAACTTTACTTCGTCCCAAGTTATTGACGTGCACTGAAACGGCGGAGGTCTGGGTACAGGCTAAACGTATGCCCTTCCCGTGCTCTTTCATCCTCTCTTGCATAAGTCTTCCCATTTCACCAATGTAGATTTTGCTGCATTCACAGGGAATCGTGTAAACCACGCTGTCCTATCTAGCTGGATTGACAGTGTTCTTTGGTCGTACTAAATGTAAGTGTCCTCTCGGACTTGAAGACTGCGCGGATGCCTTGTTGTTGTAGGCAACGGCGAAGAGGCTCTGATACACCTTTTACATGGGCCAAAAACGCTGTGGACTTGAACTGCGTCACAGGCCCTCGGCTTGGGAAGGAATTTCTTGTTTTCGCAACCTTCTGTACAAAGGAGGAGGGAAAACCGTTAGAAACAAGAACTGATGACAAATGTCTCTTTTCCTTGATGACTGATGATTTTTTCGAGAGACGCTTCGCTCGGTCATGCAAACACTTAACAATACCGCGCCTTACTTATTGAGGGTGGTGTGAAACATGCGCTACGTACTGATTAGTGTAAGTTGATTTTCTGTAGACACTGGTGGTCAAGCGTCTGTATGGTTCCCTCGTAACTGACGAGTCGAGAAAGACGATTATGTTGTCTTTCTCAGTTTCCATGGCGAATCGGATGGTAGGTTGCTGACTGTTGAGATGCTGTAAGAGACAGTCGACATAACTGCGATCCAGAATGGTGATGGTGTCATTAACGTAGCGCTTCCAGGTCTTGGGTTTCTGTGTTGTGGATTTTATTGCTTGTTCTACAAATACCTCCATGTAGAGGTTTGCAATAACCGCTGACACCGGGCTGTGAGCCCATGCTTCATCGCCGTGATACAAATGGCGCGTGAGCAGTCGACCCCATCGCCAAGTGACTACATCGTGAGACAAACGATTAAAAAGTTTATTATAATAACCCAAGTTTGTTTTCAAATGCGTCAGAATCCGCCTTCTCTAACAACTGGGGGAGGGGGGGGAGGAAGGAGGCCCTTATTTGAGGAAATGCACTTGATCGTGGAGAGCGCCTAGTCTGTTTTCTGTTAAACGTTATTGTAACTTTTTATTGCTAAATCTTAAATAGAAAAACAAAGAAAGAAATGCAACATAATCTACGAAGACGTTAAGTTAATATCAACATCTTTCAAGGAGAGAGACTTATTTGCTTAAAAAAGATGACGAGGTTTGAAGCCAAGATGTACAATGGCAATGCAATTGGAACTTACAAATTGAAGGAACTCTGAAAGAACACAAATCTAGGGATTACTGGAGTGTTAAAGAGACTATTCTTGTTATTTTTTCCGCTTTAGTTGGTGTGTAAAAAAGTTATCAATTGGCAATAGAAAAAGGCCTTTCGTATCCCTACTAATTTAGAAAGTGAGGGGGGGGGAACATATTTGAGGGTAGGGGTCTTATTTGACGTTTTGGCCCAGAGGGTGCTTATGCGGGGGAGGGCTCTTGTGCAAGAAAATATGGTACTTGTTAATTTCTAAAGAGTGTTGATCAAAAATTACACCTTTGCAATCTTTAGTTACTTTAAGATAATTACAAAGGAACTTGTCGCAGATGTTATTGCCATGATCCCTAGAAACTGCCACAAATGTGTTTAAATTCGTCTTCGGGGGGAAAAAAGTAGTGAAAAGATCTTTGTTGAAAAGCTATAAGGTTTTTTTGAGTCCTTGTCAATTTCACACACTTTTGGTCCGTTCAGCTGATAACAAGATGGATTTTCAAAACGGAACAACATTCACTTTCTTTAAATAAATATGCGAATGTGGAAAGTTTCAAATTGAAAAATCGAGCATTTCTGTAGGCCAAATATATCTAAATTTGAATATTTGTTTTCTCGGTAGCTATTCGTTGGAAATTTGATTTCTCAAGGAAATAATATTATCCTCTCATTAAGAAAAATAACCTTTCAAATTACCCCTAGAATTTTATAATTTCAAGAATTTTTATTACCATTTGTTTTTTCTGTCATCGGTAGGGATGACTGATTTGGTATCACAACAGTCGGCGAATTACTTATTTTATTCCTTACCTAAAAAGTGAACGATTTGACACACTGTAATCCTGTTTTTTTTTTTTTCCTTTTTTCTTCCATGAAGATTATCATGAATCCTCAGGCTGTTCTACTGTTCACACTGATAGCCGTTCCATGCACGTCTGCGAGTATGTTACCCCGTTATTTTGTATGTTAAATTACTACTTTAATCATTTCCTAGGAAACAAGTTTCTCAAGAAAACACAGTCTAACATTGAAACTGATAGGCTCTACAAGTTACTAGATGACAAAAAAATCACGCGAATCGTGACCAGTCGTTGACACGAACTATATATCTTTACACTATCACTTTGACCGTGAAAGTTGCGTCACGCTCGCGCCGTGAGTATTGCGAACCTTGTGATATAAAAAGGCACTTCGCAGCTCACTTTTAAAGTTTTTGCTTTGGTTTGCTATATATATATATATATACTTTTTTTTTGTTTTTTTGTTTTTGTATTTTTTGTTTCTGTGATTGACACTAAGCAATTACATTTCATTATAGATCACGTTCGATAACTTTTTTACTTCGACGGAGTGGCGTTCGATCATTTTTTCTGTTTACCGTTATGATTTTACTAAATTATCATCAAATAACCTTCTCATTGAGATATACAGTACTCTGAACATTTGGAATATAATACTGTTGTATTTGCTGCATTTGTCTTATTCCTTTTATACAGTTAAATTAAATTGCTCTCTAGGTATTGGTGATTTCCTTCCTGGTGTAAAGCAGATTGCAAATGTTGCAGCTTTGCCTGGAATTGTTGGTGTAAGAATGATCATAACTTTTTCTTGTTGAAATTATAACTTAGTGTAATTGAAACTTGTTCAACCCTGGGCCCAGTGGTTGGAAGGATGATAAGTGCTAACCCAGAGTTAAAATTAATTTTAATCAGGGTGTGTTCAATCCTTTGTTTAAAAGCCTTTTTAGAATAATTTGCTATAATTTCTTTAGAGCATCCAATCATCAAATTGCAGACTAAAAGAATTGTACATACTGAATTTTATTTGAAAGCTTTCAGATATGAAATCAGATTTCACACTGACTGTTAGTTGTCTAAACTCAGCTTTTAACAAACTGACCCTGTACTCGTGGGAAGCAGAGAAAGAATAAAGAGGAGATGACGGAAGACTTTCTTCTTATACAGTTTGTGTTTCCATAGTATTTTCACATAAAGATTTCACTTAAAGTGGTGCCAAATAGAGCATCCAGTTATCCAGTCACATCCAGTTATCCCATTATTTCAGAATTTTGGTTTGTTGAACTTTCTCTGTGGTAAAATTTTATTTCCTTCTCAATACTTTTAGAAAATTCTGAAATTATATGAGTCGAATACCAGTATCCTAATATCCTTCTCAGGGAAAATGCACATATTTTTTCCAGGCGAAAGAAGTCCTGAAAAAAGTACTTTCAGAAACAATATCATTCATCTTTAGATGGATTTGTCATCTCTGAAAGAACTTGTCATCTCGTCAATAGGACTATATGAATGACAATATACCCCCAGGCAGAGCTTTTTTATCATCTTTTTTTTTTTAATGGAAAAATCTGTAATTTTGACAACATGCCAAAGCAATACCACCAAACAACAGTAATAAAAAAAGGCTATGTATCTCCGTTTCTATTCTGAAATGTTTACTCATATTTTTTACTTGGCCCTCAGAGATCAGTTGGACTACCAGATGTTCATTCTGGCTATGGGTTTGCTATTGGTAAGTTACAACTCACACATCTGTAATAAATAAAATGTAATGTCCAATTGATTGTAAAATAAAACTCGGGTTTAAATTGGATTTTATTTTTTAATATAGGCTAATTGCTCAGTGGTTGTTCTAGAAAAGTAACAGTATGCTTCAACCATTCAGAGGAAATACTGAAAGCAATCAAAATTAAGTCATTCTTGCTCTCTCATTTATAAAGTTGGTTGCATGTTCATAGTTCATAGTCTCATCTTTGTTCTTATTTGCTGTAATTACCCTTGATTGGAAGAGATTTTGCAATTCTCTGACAAAGTAGCTAAAAATTGATTTAAAAATTATAATTATAATTCCTTGAGATGGAGTAATTTTTCCTATTATTAACAGAATTCTAAGTCATAGCATTTATGTGACTCTAATGAGACAAGATGCCAAAAGTGAAGAGGTGCTTGTCTCTCACAAAAGAAGTAATTTGGAAACTCCCCTTTGAGCAGGACTCTATTTCTTTTATTTCTTTTTTTCTCTTTTTGTAGGGAATATGGCAGCCTTTGACATGTCTCTTCCGGAAGCAGTTGTTTCTCCTGGTAAAGTTAAAAAAAAGTCTACTTCATAAATGAATTGATGAACAGATTTATTAATGATTGATCAAAATTACAAGCTAGTGTAGCAAGACCAAAGTAGCAGTGAAATACCTTATGCTATTCTTTGAGTTTGTTCTGAATTGGTCATTTTATATTTACTTGTCATGCAAGATGGTGATGACACGCACAAGCCATTTCTTTGCATGGCTTTCAATTGGCCATATTATATGCATATAATTTAAAAATTGTTCACAATCCTTGTGGCACTGATCACAAAGTTTTTGACAACTTGTTGTCCTTGAAATGTATTTTTTCATTGTATGATTACTTTAAAAGAAGTCTCCCATCTAAATCTGATTTTAAAGAAGTTCTTATTGTTTATAATCATGAGAAGTATTCACACAAAAGATCATCTGTGTTAGGTGGTGTTGGTTTTGATATCAACTGTGGAGTGCGATTACTGAGGACAAACCTTGATGAGAAGGATGTCAAACCTGTTAAAGAACAATTAGCACAGGTACAGGGTAAAGTACATTATGGTTAAATTTCCTCTTCTTCCTTTTGACTGTCACTTACCCCCTTGGTACAAATGTCTTTCTCTCCCCACTCCTCCTCTGCCACAAGTATCTAAGATATAATTTTCACCTAGAGGATACTGAGCACTCACCTGCCATAATTTTGCCTGCTTTAGCTTGCCTCAGGCTGGGTGCATTTCTACATGTACATGTACTTACACAATGTATCTTTCACGTACTAAGCACAGAGGACTTCAGTTATCTGAAACATTTGCAAACCAGCAAAACATTTAAGAGAACTGTTTTATTTTTTGTTTTAGTTTGTTTTGGTTTTTTGTTTGTTGTTTGTTTGTTTGTTTGTTTGTTTTCATGTTTCTTGTTAGTTATGCTAACATTTCTAATTTCCATAATATTTGTTTCTTTTTTTTTTCTTCTCATTTCAGTCACTTTTTGATCATATTCCTGTTGGTGTTGGCTCTAAAGGTGTTATTCCCATGGGTGCAAAGTAAGCTGAGTTTTTCATCTCTTGTACAACTTGTCAGTCAAAGCTGTTTATTCTGACTTCAGTTACAAGCCTAACCCTTTCACTCTCAAGATTTCATTGGTAATTTTCCTTACTTTCTGTCATACTATCCCTATGATGATAGTTTGGAGAATTTGATATTGGATCAACTGATACCAGCGATTCCCAACTTGATATTTTTCTTTATCCTTATTACTTGTCTGCTTGATAGTAAATTGAGATTGTAAGGAGAAATTGTCTTGGTCACTCCTGGGAGTTAAAATGTTAACACTGTATTGGGTCCATTACTTTTTTTCTGTAGTCATTTTAATATTTCTTATCATTTTCTCCAACAGAAATCTCGAGGAAGCTCTCTCAATGGGGATGGATTGGTCCTTAAGAGAAGGTTGGCCATTTTCCTAAATTTTCTTTTAGGTTGTATTTTTAAGGGGGTGTCTTATGAAAGCCATGCAGTTAATAGAAGGTGTGAGGATGTTTTTAATTCATTTTCGAGTTGATTTGGGTGATGGTAAGTTAGGAAATTCCAAATAAGGGTGCTTAATGGGTAGTTTTTATCGGAAAGAGGCAAGTGAGAAGTGGACAACAGAGAAAGGGTCACTGGGAAATTTAGATATACATTATACATGTGCCATCTCAAAGAAGTATTTTAAAAGAATTTAAAATTACGTTACCTGGTATTAAGGTGAACAAAATTGGAAGTTGAAAATCGTGACGGTCATATTTAAGGTGTCACTGGTGTTCATCTGAAGGCTTCTTAGTTATATGTAATTTTGTCTTCTCATTACAGGTTATGCTTGGGCTGAGGATAAGGAGCATTGTGAAGAGTACGGACGAATGCTGCAGGCTGACCCTGGAAAAGTTAGTGCTAGAGCAAAGAAACGAGGCTTGCCGCAGGTAAATACAGAAGCACAGAAGTTTCATTTGTAGCTCTTACTGAATAAAATAAGCAGGAGCGTTTGATACGAGCGTTGACTGCGCGACGAGGGTAGCGCAATTGATGACTGATTCTTTGCAGCCTGTTGTGAAGGCGCTCTTTTATCGAAAGTCCTCTGTAATCACAGGGAACGCTATTACAACGAGCAAGTAGAACAAAGTCAAATATGGCAAGGAACCAGTGGGATCTCATTACGAAATTGAGCAAACTCTACAGAGCTAGGGAGGGGGAGGGAGGCTACATATAGTAACATGTCGCGACTGATTTTAGAACAAGTTGCGTCCGATCTTGCGAGAAAGTGGCACGAGTTTCCATCCATAACTGTACAGTGTTAGTAGCCAGTGGTGTCCAGATCACTTTCGCCTTTCGACCAAAATTGTTCTCAGACGTACAGATTACTTCAATCTCTAAGTAGGCTTTGAGTTAAGTAAAATAGTAAGTTTTTAGGGAAATTGCGGTGCTGTATCGTTAGGGGGTATAGCAGGATAAGATGATTTATGAACTGAATTGATGTGTAAATTAGCCACCGTTAAGAGTTCCTAAAGCTGACGTTTCGAACGTTAACCCTTTGTCAGCATTAGAAACCCTAAAGCTGACGAAGGATAACTGTTATGGCTTATCTTCTCCACTGATTAGCTTGGCACTCTTGGAGCGGGGAATCACTATGCGGAAATCCAGGTTGTGGATGAAATTTACGACAATTATGCTGCAAAGAAGATGGGAGTTGATCATCTTGGACAGGTAGAAAAAAGGGCACTTACGTCTTAACCCTTTAACTCCCAGATCAAATTTGTAATTCTCCATACTGTCAACCATACAATTGTTATGATGTTAGTTCAGAGAATTAAGTATTGGATCAACTAATTATCCGCAAATTGATATTTTTCTTTATTCTCATCACTTTTCTGGTTAATACTGTATTGATATTGTAAGGAGAAATTAAGTCTTAGTCACTCATGGGATCTCTGACTTGCAAGGAGTGAGGCATGTGAGCAATTGAAGATCTTTTAGGAAAGCTGCTTGATATTTTTCTTGAGCTTGTAGCAAATATCTTTTCTTAGTCTCTCTCGTTACATTTCAAACCTCATAATAATTATCTCTCAGTTCTTGTGTTTATCAATTGTTACTCATTCAGTTACCAACTACCACGACTACCAACTCCAACAGCATCAACTGGGTCTCACTTAGAACTCTTTGGTTTAGGGTTAGTTTGGTTGCTAATGATCTTGTCAATAATTATATAATTTATGTTTAAAAGGTTTGTGTGATGATCCACAGTGGCAGTAGAGGACTTGGACATCAAGTGGCCACTGGTAAATGGTTTATATACCGTTCCTCTCTTTACGATAGATAAATGAATGTATTATCGACTTAACTTATGTCTCCACAGAAGGCAAGACTTGATTATTTTCCAGGTGATCGCTGTCACCCGAGTCATGCATTCTTGATTTCTTCATTTTACAGATGCACTGGTAGAAATGGAGAAAGCCATGAAAAGGGACAAGATTGAAGTCAACGACAGACAGGTTTGCTAACAGTGTAGTGCATTTAAGTCTGTGCATTAAGTTTGTATTTTGTCAAGTATTCCACGACAATTGCACTTGTCATGGCCGTCTACATTGACAAAGAAACTTGTAATGACATCTATTAAGTGGAACTTGCTAAAGTAGAATTTCCCTTAAGCTTTGTTTGCAGTTGCTCCAACAAGTATTTTTATCCAGGCATCTAATTTAGTAGAGTAGGGATAACGAGCCTTGATTAATTTACCACATCTACAGAAATGATATCTCTATACGTCATTACATGAGCAATTGCTCCCAGTGCAATTATAGTTGGATGGTTTTGGGGAAGTTTCGCTGTGATAGGTGTAATATAAATTGACTTTGTCTCTTTTCTCCGTTATTGGTATCTGTTGAGTCGATTTTCACATTGCGATCAATGGTCAGCTGAACGAACGGCCCTATAAAAGCACGTGGAGAAATAGTACGTTTTCATTAGCGATGGAATCAGAGAAGTTAAGACTGTTCTCAAAACAATGAAGTTGAAAATCGGATTCGCAAGCTCAACTTAGCCAGGGTATAAGAGTTCACGTTAAATCATTCATGTTTTTAGCCTGGTAAATTTTGTCTTCTCCAATTTCCCTTATTTGTCGGTTTTAGAACAAGGCAACTTACTGAGACAAAAGTTTTCATGATCAACCGTCTAAACTGCTCGCTTCTCCTAAGGATTACTACAAACAATCACAATTGTAATGCTCTACTCTAACGGGTCTGAAATCGTAAGTTCTGATTAGTTTATTCTTCCCCTTATTTGGATGGTTCCGACGATTTGTTTCTCGTTTTAAACACAAGTGTTGACAACCATATAATTGGTTCCTTTACAGCTTGCTTGTGCCAGAGTTAACTCACAAGAAGGTCAAGATTACCTCAAAGGCATGGCTGCAGCAGCGAATTACGCTTGGGTCAACCGTTCAACGATGACATTTTTGACAAGACAAGCTTTCGGAAAAATTTTCAATAGTACCCCGGACGACTTAGACATGCAAGTGATCTATGACGTGTCACACAACATGGCAAAGATCGAAGAACATGTATTCTTTATTGTTCTTACAACAATATCTTCAGTTCTTTGGATTATATATATATATATATATATATATATATATATATATATATACACAATTATTTTAACTTTTGAAATTACTTAATTACTTACCTTAGCTAGTAGATTAGATATTGGACGGTGTACAGAAGACTCTCTTAGTACACAGGAAAGGATCAACCCGTGCATTTCCTCCTCATCATCCGCTTATCCCAGTGGATTATCAGGTCGGCTATTCACTGTTTACTACTCCTTTCGATCGCAAGGTTTAAGGTTTATTTTATTTTACTTTTTTAAGTTAGAAATCGTTGTTTGAGTGCTTACAGTCGTTCGCTCCAAGGTTTTTTACTGGTCCAACACTTTTCGTGTTGGGCTATTTCTTTCCCAGTTTTAATCGCATTCTTCGTCACGTTCATTCTCCCTTCCCTCCGTTTCCCTTCAATCGCTCGATGATTGGAACCCGCAGAGCACCATACTTCCTTTTGAGGGCAAGCACCTTTCTTGTTTTACTTTTACGTTCTTTTGTCTTCGGGTTCATTTATTCGCTTCTTCCTTGGCTCCTTTTTCTCGACTGAGGGCGCAGGTGGCTCAACAGGCAGCGTTTTGTTTCACGACTCTAAATTAATGAAAACTTTCTTTGCTCTTGCTGAGATACATGTACTCATCGTCTTGTCCATTATTTTATCAGTTGACTGGTCAACCTGTACTGATTGGAGGAACCATGGGCACGTGTAGGTAAGGTAAAGTGTAGGTGTAGGTGTAGGTAGGTAGTGTAGGTGTAGGTAAGTTAAAAAGTAGTCTCGGGGAAGTAACGTTCAAAGGTATTGTTATTATTGTAGGTGTTTGCTATTATTGTTGGTGTTTTCGATCCCTATACATATAGCCTTATGAAAAACACTTTTTCACGAGGGACGAAACTATTGGTTATCTTGAGCAGACATGGAGACCCAAATTGTTCCATGTTTTGTTTGGTTTTCAGTTATGTTTTGACAGGAACGGAAAAGGGAATGAACCAGACGTTTGGTACCACGTGTCACGGAGCGGTAAGTTCATATATTATACGCAATATTGTTTCTTGATTTGAAAGCATGATGACATAAAAAATGCAAAATGACCACAGCATTTCCTGGTTTCAAACCTTGGGTTGGATAAGGTTTGAAACGTGTAAGCAAATAGGTTTGTTTGTTATGATTTTTTCTTTCCCATTTTCCCAGAAAGTATTTTGAAATGGATATTTATATATATATATATTATCTATCTATCCATTTTTCTTCAGGGAAGGGCATTATCAAAATCAAAGTCACGGTGTGTGTTAGTAGTACTAAGAATAAAGTCATCAGCTGGTCCAACTTGACCTAGTCATAAACATAGTTCCATTCATGCAGTTTTAATTGTCCTTTCCATTCTCTTTCAGCCGAAATATTGACTATCAAGAAGTTCTCAATGGTCTTAAATCCAAAGGAATCTCAATAAGAGTGGCTTCCCCAAAACTGGTTATGGAAGAGGTAACGAATCAGTAAATGGCCGCCTTTTTTTTTAAAATTCGTTTTCATGCTGTAGCTTCCATGGCACTGCATCAAAAGCTGTTGAAATCTTAAAAAAAGAAAATGTGTGTTAATTGTGTGCATTTTTGTTCAGCTTTTTAACAGGCTCCTGAGTCTTATAAAAACGTCACTGATGTCGTTAACACTCGTAAGTATAAGCGTCTCTTGTTGTTCGATGTTACTTGCTTTTCGAGCCATTGTTGCAGGTTTGCGTTGTGTTGTCAACGGTTTACAAAGAAAACAATCCCTCAAGATACATTTTAACTCCAAGAACTTCCGAGACAATGAGATTCTAACCTAAAGACGACAGCTCGTTGACGATGCAGGATTCCCTACCTTAGACACGAACTCGTTCTTCTGCTTATAAGGTGTCCTATCCGGCTGAGATAACTAAGAGTCGTTAGAGTCAGTTTCTTTTCCCTTCAAAGCAAATCATGTTTTTCCTTTCTGCAATCGGTTCACCTATCTTCAACGTCAAACACTGAAGTGCCTCCGTAATCAAGTTTTCACCTCTTTGAACTTGAGAAGCATAATAGAGAATTCCCCTGTGAAATGTTTGCATTAGTTCCGTAGAAAGTTAAATTTGGAAAAAATCATGAAATATTCTGATCACGAAACTGATGATGTCGTTTACTCGATCCAGGTTAACATCAGGATTGTGTAAACACCCATCTCTGTCAAAGTGTGGTTACTTGACATATTGGTGTCCGTAATGTTTAACATAGACTGACAAAACCGGAATCGATGATCTGATACTATACGCAGATTAAGTGCGGTGACTGTACATGTTGGTGTCTGCAATGCTTGACATAGCCTGGCATTTATAAGTATGAAAAAAGAACTATTTAAAATATGTTTTTGGATTTTAATGTCCCTTATCAGATTGCAAGAAAGTAAGCAAGATTTGATTGGTTCATCTTTGCTAAACAAGCTGGTTCAAGTTAGAATCGATAATAAGTCGATACTAGCACTAAAGATTGATGTTTTGCGGTAGCGATTTGTACTTATCACAAACGATTGGTGGCAGCACTGACGATTGGCATCGTTACAATTTCTGTATTTTACAAATAACACAAGCCATACTCGTTTAACACTATCGACTGACATTAAAACCTATAATTGATATTAAGCGCTATCGATCTGTCTCGGAACACCAGCGATTTACAACTGGCGCTTTTAATTGGAGTCTTACAACGGCGATTGGTGGAACAACACAAGCGATTGAGGCTTAGGGCTAATGATTGAACATTTTTTAGAGCGGAGACTAAATTGATTTTAAAACACGATTTGTTGATAGCTCTAACGATTGAGTTTCATCACTAACGAGTGATAATTTTGGCACAAATGGCTCCCCATACTTTCCATGTTGGTATTTGTAATGCTTCACAGAGACTGACAACACCGGCATCGGTGATCTGATTACCACGCAGATTAAGTGCGGTGAGTTTACCTGTTGGTGTCTGTAATGCTTGACATAGACTAGCAACACCGGCATCGGTGATCTGATTACCAACCAGATCAAGTTCGGTGACTTTACATGTTGGTGCCTGTAATGCTTGACAAAGACTGACAACACCGGCATCGGTGATCTGATTATGACCCAGATGAAGTTCGGTGACTTTACATGTTGGTGTCTGTAATTCTTGACATAGACTGGCAATACCGGCATCGGTAACCTCCCCACCACTCAGTTCAAGCGTGGTGATTCTATTCCATTCAGATTCCTCCTCGGCATTGAGCGCACCAAAAACATTTAATGTAAAAGACACAACAGGGCAGTCCACATACGCCATCCCGACGCGAGAAAGATCAAAACGTCCATTACGTATGCAGAATATGTCGTGAAATCTCCTTACTATTCCCTTAGCAAACTCGATGTCTTCGTATTGTAGGAGACATTTAGAAATTAAAAGCCCCCTTGTGCATTCATCTGCTGATAGGTCGTCGCTGAGAAATTTGTTGATAATCAACTTTTCCACAAATTCGTTGTCTTTTTGCTTGGACAAAATACCCGACATAAATAGAACTACTTCTGTAGACACATGTCTGGGGGGGATTGTTCTTGTCTTTACAAACCAACGAGCCGCTAAGTACTCTTGGACAGTCAAGTGTGTAAAAAAAAAATGTTTAGTCGTCGTAGAAAAAGATTTTCTGAAAGGAGGACCGCAATGAAGAAGACCGCTTCCACACAGCCTTTCAAACTCGTGTAAGTCAAGAGTTTTCAAATCCTCTTTAAGGAAAAGAAACCTCCTCTCCAGAAGAAGTTGAGCAGCCAGCTCTGATAATTCATCCAGAGTCTCTTCGAGAGAGGCTCTTTTCTTTTTATCGTGCTTTTGCACGAACATGTTGACCACTTCATCATAAAGGTCACTTGTTTTCACCGGGAGAGGATTATTCTTCTTTGATTGCTGTAGAGTATATTCAAAGTAGGAGCACATAAGAAAACAGAGCACAGGAATGTGGGCAAAGCTGATAAGATTGACATTCTTTGTAATGTGGTCAATTACAATATTTTTCATTCGGTCGTTGTTTTTAAAATACTTTGCAATGTATTCTTTTACTTGTGGCTCGGAAAATCCTGTAATTTCAACGTATCTATCAAAATAGATGTCTTTGGCTTTTATTTTGTCAGATTCATCGGGTCTTGACGTGATCATGACGACTGAACCTCTCAGTATTTTTCCTTTGATAAGCTTGGCACACAGTGCTGCTACTGGCATTTTCTTTTTGGCGTTATTTGGGTACTTTTCATCTGAATCACTAGCAATGTACTCTTGTTGTGAACACTCGTCATACCCGTCGATTATAATCAAAACTTCTTCGGAATGATGAACAATGTACTCAAATATAGAGTCGTCGATGTTTGAGTGGTCGTCTAGCACTGAGGATCGGTTTAGGATATCCTCCAAGGTAACAGGGTCGTCCCCAAGTAGATTAAGCTGACGGAACGTAAGTAAGTATGCGAACTTAAAATCAGGTACTTCTGCATTTGCTCCGGATCGAAACAATTTGTTGTCAGCCCAATCTCTGATCACCTTTTGACAAAACAGTGTTTTACCAATGCCTGCCTTTCCAGTGACAAGAACAGATTCAGGATGTTTTCCGTCAGTTGGGATGAAAATTTCTTGAGAGCTTTTAATTTGCTTTCCACCAATTTGACCATACTGGCGAAGGCGTTCTTTTCTTTTCACATCAAGATCCTCGACTGGTTTTCTTCCATGTTGCATGAGGATGTTGGTGAATATGTGATCTGTTCTCACATTGGACATGGCCGGTGAGGCATTAGCGAGGTACTCGGTTTGGCTTCTTATTGATTCTTTTAACGCATCGGAGTATTCTGCTACAGCTGAAAAGAAAACCGTTACCTCCATTTATTTTCATAAACCATTCATGTACTAACTTTTTCAATGCTCGACGAAGAGTCATTGAAACGCGATTGTTTCATTGACTATCACACTCGCTGAGTTTTGCTTTAATTAGGCTTTCCAAAGGTGCAAGTTAATCTCGAATCCGTTCGCAATTAATTGACACCAAATTCCGACAGACCAATTGAAAAAGCGTAGCAAGGGGTTGGTGTGAAGGTTAAATTATTTCATTCTTAATAATATGCCTGCAAACATTTCAGAACGCTCATTAGATGAGAACACGTTAATTAATCCCAAACAGCGCAGAAAGTTGAGATTTAGAGCAGAAAGTTGGAATTGATTGTAGACAGATGAAACAGTTTGATTGCTAGGAGAGTCACAAAAGCGTAACAAAATAAAATAGCGGAGAGGTTAGGGGAAGGTAACAATCTTTTTAATCCAGAGTTTGATGAAGAATGCAAAAAATAAAATACAAAACAAAGCACAAACAACTGGCCAAAAGTCTAGAAGGTTTGTGCATTGAAAAATATGAATCGGAGGCCCTTAACAAACTTCTTGTGGAATTTCACGCAATAGTTTGTAAGAAAGACGAGGAAGATTCCGGAATTCCGGAATCCAGCACTCACAGCGTGGAATCCAGAATCTAATACTGTTCTGGATTACCTTACATGAGGCGTGGGATATCTTTCTTGTACTGATTATTGCTGTCGACCGATACCTAAGAGACTAAGAGTGCAAAAATCCGATTGTTCGTGACGGTGAGTATAAAATCTCGACCCAAATTTTTGGGGAAAAGCCCGACTACTCCAGCACAAGGTAAAGGCAAGCGGCCGAACCAGCGAGCCATGACACGGAAAAAAAAAAAAAGGAAAGAAAGAAACAACTAAAGAGGAAAAAAGAGTCATATTATGCTTTTGTATTATTAAAAAGTATTCGCATGTTTTTTTTTTCGTGCAATTCGGGATAAAGCAGCACTTGTAAATTTTATTTAAATACTAAAAATTGCTCTCGCCCGACAGGCTCGCGCAATTTGTTCGCTTTTGAAAAATTTGCTGGCGCTGTTTCATCCTAAATTTTACTCTAAATCATGTGATTACCAGCACTAACCGACCCATTTCGGTTGCGGTACCAGGAATTTGTGGTACGGGAGGAACTAACTTTGACTTAGAAAACTTTTTGTGTGTGTGTTTACGCCAGAGGCCTTAGTACACTTAGTGGAGAGAATGCGTCCTGTCGTCTCCACTTCATCAAGAATTTTAGCTTTTTCCCATTTCTTTCTTTCGACGAACCCGACCAGGCAAATACTGTAGGACTTACTGCAGTTTTTTTGGTGCAAATAACCTTGGCAGGGAATCTATTTGAACTGTGAGTTCTCTTTACTCCTCGCATGAGGAATAAAAAAATAGATAAATAACTCGCTTATCACCCAAAAAATTCATGGAAAAGCCAACACCTGGTCTTTTTTCCAATTTCGGGTCAGAGAGAAAGGGGTCAGTTCTAGTGGAAGATATTTCTCTGAGTTTGAGCTCTTGTTAAAGGTAGGCATTCTATAATACTAAAATGAACTGATTGTTAAATTGCTTATCACCCTCTGATCAGAGGCCCTTCAATCTTCCTCTTCAAGTTTCCTTT